AAGTACCATCGACAACTGGAATGACCTGAAAACAAGTAACCCAATGTACAACTGACAACAATATCTACCTAAAAGACAACTGTACTTCCTACTTTATCTATGCGTTTACCACCCCTCCCATAGATTAAAGGAATGATGTGATCCCCATATATGGGTGCTCTTCTAAAGTTATTGGCTTCCTTGGCAGCTCCATTTCCGAAAAAACTAAAACATACAATGTTGAATTGAATGACACTACCTGAACATAGTCTACTCCCGAGCCATCAAGGGTTGGGAAAATAGTCCGGGACTAATCAAGATCTTTTCGTCTCAAGTTCTGCATATTTTATATTTTTTTACTCAAATTATCAGGAATACAACAAGCAGATGTACGAAATAAGTAGTTTTTGGTAGGACCTGTTTCTATTTAATCAGTGTCAAATTGTGTGTGATTGTATTCCAGTATTCACTTACCTACCTGACCTATCAATAAAATATCCCAAATTTTGAATAGCTGCGTAGCTATTTTTTGCGGTAATTATTTCTGTAGTTTTTTGTCCAGTAAAAAGGCAATTTGATTTTTACAAAGATTTGTAGTTGGCAAGGGGAATTTCTTATGCTTGTTCTAGTAAAAATTCAAATTCTAGCTTAATTGTTTTCTTATATTTCCTGTAATTCTGGGAACCAAAACATATTGCGCAAACATCCTTCCTTAGGTGTATCTAATAATGTAGGGAATTCTGTTTAGTAAATTGAGATGTAATAAATATTTGTGTAAATCCATTTTCCAGTTTGTTAAATGAAATATATATAGGCGTCCCAGTTTCTCCAAGATCCTATTAAGTCCTCTTATTTGCCACTTTGCTGTAGTTTCGTGAATGAACAAAGTGTTGAAAGCATAAATTATACAAGTTTGTGAGTGGTAATTCTATATAAACCACCTTTAAATCTTTTAAATTAACTTGTACTTAAGGGTACCACTACCCTTGTATAGGCACTTTCTTTTCCTTGCATTTTTGACCCCGAACGCAAATTTTCCAGTGGGTGGGCATTCTTATCACAGAAACACTAAAAAGATATTGACACCAAAAATGAAAACAACAATGGCACAGGCCACAGACTGTTCTGTGGCAATAGTAATTACTTAGCTTGGTGTTGCCAATTATGTTCGAATTTAAGATATTGACGTTGCGTTGTTATAAAAATTATTTTATTTTCCAGAAAATTACGGCAATGTTACAAGTCGGTCAATTGGGGGTGACGTATGCGCAAAATGTCCACACCTTCTCTACGAAAATATAACCAACTGCAGTGCATCACTTTTTAGGACAAATTTAGTAGGGTCACTACATTATAGCAATATGTTTATACCTGTTGTTACTGTAAGGGGCAAAACAAAAGCGAATCAGGTAGATGTCGACGACGTGCCGGCTGATGTCAGTCGCAGTGTTTAATAACCAGTTTAGCGTGAAAAATTTTCGAGTATCGAATATATTCGAAATCTATGTACAAAATGATGAAACAAAATATTATTATTAACCGTGCCACCCCCATAGGGTTATTTGGAAAATGATATTAAAATATGGCAAAATAGACCAACAACTAGTAGATGTACAGGTAGATATACATACACTATCAGACAAAAGTAGAGCAACATCTTTTCAAAAAAACGCTTTTAGTAAAAGTAAATGCAAAAATAACTCGTGTTGGGTTTATTTTGTGCTAAGTTAACCATTTGTGTGTAGGACTAGTTATGCCAAGAGGAATTCCAATTTCAAAAGACCTAATGCTAAGAGTAGTAAATGCATTTATGGAAGGTACCAATCAAGCCGATATTTCAAGACAGTTTATGTTACCTCGGTACAGTGTATCTAGAATAATTTCATCGTATAATGACAGAGGACACTTAGAAAAATTGCCGAAATCGGGAAGACCCAAAAAAACAACGGTTTTGACTGACAGGAGCATTAAAAGAATTGCTCAACAAGATCCCTGGAAGTCCGCACCTCGAATAATTGCCGAAATTTCCAGAAATTACGGTTGGTATACGAACTGTGCAAAGAAGATTAGTAGCTTCATAGTTGTTCAGTAGACGGCCAGCAAAAAAACCGCTAGTTTCAGCAAGAAACAGAGCAGCAAGGTTGGCTTTTGCACGCCGGCATTTAAACTGGACCATCAATGACTGGAAAAAAGGACAATGATCCAAAACACTCTTCACAACTCGTTCAACAGTGGTTTGCAGAAAACAATGTTAGAGTTTTGCAGTGGCCGGCACAGTCGCCAGACCTTAATCCAATTGAAAATCTCTGGGAAGAAGTAGAACGTCGCATTCGTACACAAATATTTCCAAATAAACAATCGTTGATAGATAAAATTAATGAAGTTTGGACAAATCTTCCAGAAAATGTCACTCAAAACGTGATAGAATCAATGCCGCGCCGTTGCCAGAAGGTAATTCTTAATAATAGATATTCTATAAATTATTAAGGCATAATTTTAATTATTATTATTGTACTAAAATGTGTGTTTAATGTTTTTTTTTTAAATAGAATACACTATAATACTGTTAAATACAACTTTTTGAAATAAAATAAAACACTGTTAAATACAATTTGTTGCTTTACTTTTGTCGCCTTCATTTTCGTCAAATTTTATATTAATTATTATTTAGCTTACACCAACTAACTTAAAGTACACCCAAAATGTTGTGAAAAATTACTTGCTATGCAAGGAAAGTATTTTATCATAACTAGCAAAAAATATGAACCATTTTTTTTATTTAAAAAATACTAAAAAAATATGTTTGTTGGTTTACTTTTCTCCGATAGTGTATAAAAATAATATACAAAATGCTACGAAAAATTGAACTTTAGATAGATAGATCATTGTCAAAACGGATTTTAAAAAAATGGATGAGTGTCCCAATGTTAAAAAATAGAAGTAAATCTGAAACATGTTCTAAACAATCAAGATATCTGAGAAGCAGCAAACCTAATAAAACTCATCACAAAATTTCCTCAGAGGCATTTTAAATAAGAATGTCGTAGTAGTGGGACTTGAATAACCCAAAGTGAGCTAGATGGTACGATACACAGTAAAAACTGTTATACAAAAAACTTATGTACTTAAGTAATCATTATTAGGTAGGATATACTTAGTGTCATCATATTTTCTATTAGTAATATTATTTTAGTAGCATTAGTAATATAGTTTTATCGAATAAAATCTGGTGTCATGTTTCGCGATGTTGAGAAACTGAAGGTCTCTTTCTCGAAGACTGACTGATTTCTGGTATTGTTTTAGACTGATTTTATCTTTAACGGATCGTAGATCTTGAAACACTTTAGACACGTGCAGAATATAGTTTTAATTAGTTTTGTTCATGTATATGTTTTTGTTTTGTTTTTTCAGAATTTTCAGAAAAGAGGGTAACTTACTGAGTGTGTTAGTAGTTCTGTGTTCTGTATTTTCTGTATGATAATTGTTTCTGAGAAGAATTGGGTTGAAATGTGTAATTCCTAGTTAAGAGATTCGGATTGAGACAGCGATGTTGCCCTTAAAATCAAAGAATTAACCAGTTAATCGATTGTGATGTGATATTGCGTTTATCGATCAGTATGAGTTGGTTTTCGTATAGTTAGGTCTGGTTTCCGATTACTGGGAATGTCTAGAAACACAATTCTATAGGGAAATTGATGGAAATCAATCTAAACTATGAAAAAGATTTTTAGATGATGTTTTCGTTATCTTGTCATTCGGATTTTTCATTATGTAAACTGATTTTACAAAAGTTATTAACATCATGTTTTGACTCCCATTTTTATCTAACTAAGATTGTGAGTAATTATTTAATACTTTCAATTATTGCTAATCGTTTCATTAATGGAAATATCAGCTTGAAATCTTTGTACTAAAAGTATTAATTTATTCAGAGAGAGAGAGAGAGAGAGAGAGAGAGAGAGAGAGAGAGAGAGAGAGAGAGAGAGAGAGAGAGAGAGAGAGAGAGAGAGAGAGAGAGAGAGAGAGAGAGAGAGAGAGAGAGAGAGAGAGAGAGAGAGAGAGAGAGAGAGAGAGAGAGAGACAGAGAGAGAGAAAGAGAGAGAGAGAGAGAGAGGAGAGAGAGAGAGAACACATGAATCTGAAAGATTTCCTAAGATATACTATACAAATTTGAGAGGCCGTTAACACAATTGGAAGAATATTCAAATCGACAGTTGTTTTTAGAATTGACTTGACCACACAATCTTATATCGTGTGATTCGAGAATGCTCCATTTGTCTCCAAACCAGTACAAATTCAAAGAAAATAAACATTTATCTTTAATTTAACACTGCTAGATCCCAGAAAAGCGAATATGAAAGTATTCAAATCAAATTTAATAAATTAAAAATAACCACGTTAACACCTAGAGTTGAAAGGCAAAGGTTAAATTAGCTTTCAACAATTTGCCGTTCTTGATTTTTTACATATACGCACATTCTTGATGTCAGACTAGAGTAGACCACCTATATATTGCAGTCATTTACTGTCTAATCACCTTGTATTGTAATGAGCTAACCAAGTAAGATTGCTCCATGGCGTGCTCACACGCCGGTTCCCAAATTTAATTTTTCACGAGCATTCAAATGCAAGCTGATGGAAGATTCCGCTTGAAAGTACTTTAAATAAAAGTTAAATACCAAAATCTATCGAACAATCCGGACGAGTCGAGAAATCAATTTACTCCAAAGCTGTGCTCTTTTGAACTACGCTAGAAAGTTTTCCGTTAAGTTTTAGCGCCCAGGGGATTAATTTTGTTTCGATTGGGAGCCTCCTTACACAGAAACGTGTTCACTTTACCCTTGCTGTGGTTTTCGTTTATATCATGAACAAAATGATGTAACAACAATGTTTGTTAGTTTCTTTATACTGGAAAACCAGGAAGCAATTTTGGATGTTTCGTGCTGTTTTGCAAACACGTAACTATAAAGTAATGATCGAAATAATAGTAAAATTTCTTTAGTCAACCGTCTAATAAACTAGTGACTAAAGAGGCGTTTAACAAACTTGATGCATAATGTAATATTTTAAAACTCTAGTTGATGTGACTCTAAAAGGTAATTTTTGATATCATATTATGCCGCATTTTTATGTCACATAGAACACCGTGTATAATTTTTATTTTTTTGATTCAAAAATTAACAGTATCTGCAATTTTTTTCTATATGCAATCCTTCAAAATTTCGCTCTATTAACTTCTTCTTCCTGTAGTGTCATCCCCTAACGAAGGTTGTCGACCATCTTTTCTACACTCATATCGGTAGAGTCTCTAATATTTCTCAGCCAGGATTCCTTCTTCATTCCTATAACTTGTTTTTCTTCGTTTGATTGTTAATGGCAATTTTCACTCCTGCTGCTGCTACGCTAAACACAACTGACTATCATGAAACAGTTCATAATATTCTCACAGGTCAGCAACTTAAAAAAGATCCTACGTCATCTAAGGAATTCAATAATTGAAAAATCCTTGAAAAACATATTCTCTAGGAAAATATCTACCTTCTATATTAATTCCTTTCAATTCATTGAGATTATTGCATCATTACATTAGATGGCTTTTTAGTAAAGTTCCTGAAACTGTCAACATTATTTCAGATATATTAAAATTCAAGAAACTAGAATCAAATCTAATCAATTTAAATGAAAAATGTTTACCTGGAACATATATTTCGTGCAACGTTGAAATTTAAAAACAAATAGGAGGAACCGCTACCGGTTCCCCGTTATCACCAGTCATCGCAAATATATTAGTGGAAGATTTTGAAAAGAAAGCGCTCAGCACTTTCCGTCGAAAACCTTCTTCTCTCTCCCAAAGGGCCCGATAAAGTATTATCTACGAATATAAATTCAATAACAGGTGGCAGTACGCACTCCTGACTAACTTCTCGCTCTATTAACTTGCCCTACAAGATGCAAAAAATGACACTTTATAATAATAATACATACTTACACGTAACATTTTATTCCAATATTTTCATTTTCACAATTGCAAAAAAATTACCATAGCGCCATTATTTTTAAGGGTGGATCACTCATATTTGGGTGAGGCGGAAGAATGCTTTATTATTCAACTGTTAATCCATGGGGGTTTAAGCAAGAAGGAGCTCCTCCGCGCTACCATCGAGAAATTAAAGAATTTTTAAGTAATCACTACCACAGAAATTATTCGGTAGAGCTGGATTCATTGAATGGCTCCCTGGATCATGTGACTTAACACCAGTAGATTTCGTTTTGTGCGAATCTCCCTGCAATACCAGAAGATATGGAAAATAGGATTCGCAACGCGTGCATATACGAAAAAGAGTAAGGCATATTTTTAAACATTTGTTACTACACAATAATAATTAACAATAAGAGAAGTTTGTTTGTAGTAATTAAGTCAATTAAGTGAATATAGTAATTGGGTATTTAATTTTATTTAATTTTTCTGTGAATTTAAAATTTGGCCATTATTTTTACCGAAATTGCCCTATTGACTAATAAATTTGTCATAGTCAACTGATATTATAGCAATAGTCTTAGACAGAAATAAAGGTAAATATTGAAAACGTTAAAATAAATCGCGAAGTGTTAAATATAGGTATATATTAAGTGTGGGTGTGTATTATTATTAATAACATTTCATTACAAATATTTCAATTTAATTTAATTTATCCTATTTCTATTTCTGAAAATTAAATAGTCAATCAATCAAAAATCAATATGGAATCATAGAAAAACAGCAAGAGTTATTTTTCTAGTAGAATTAAGACTTAGATGCAATATGTGACTAAAGTACTAATTGGAAGTTTACTGCCTAACTGGTGTTTACAGGTTATTAGAGAATAGGTTGTGTATAAGTAGTACCTATAAACCGATTTTCTCGAGCCCCATTTTTTAATTGAAGCTACCGAAGTCGTTCTTCGTACTGAAAGTAATTTACATCCATGTATTTAAAATTCATTGGATTCTTTACCAAAGACAAATATTCCAACTTTGGCCTGAGAGGCATTTTATTTCAAAGAAAGGTTAAATTTGAATGGAACGATGGTTGAAATTTGATTTACTAACTAGCGTTTATAATGTATTTCTGAAATAACTTGGAGCCTAACATCATCCCGAGTTCTTTGACAAAGGTCGTTTTTTTAAGAAATTCATTTTTTAAGCTCTCACTAAATATAATCAAGAATCAAGAAACATATGAGAAACCTTGTGAAAAGCTTTTGTGAAATCTGTATAAACCGAATCTACTTGTGCTTCGTTTACTACGGCTGTATATATATCCTGAACATACGGAATGAGATCAGTGAATCTTGAATCAGCGACATAATTTTTAAATTAGAGAAAAATTCTTTATGTAGAATAGCCTAAAATATTTTTCGGAATGTCGACAGCATGGAATAACTAGTATATAGAAGAAGAAAATATAGACACACAGGTGCGACTATTCAATAAGGCTTATTCCACCGGTGTGATTCCAAGGCGAAGGCCAGAATGCATTTCGATTCCAAAAAATGCAAACTTAAAGAGATGTAAAAGGGTTTTATTTGTTAATGTTATTTAATTTATAGTCCGGACGTATTTTTAACGGGGGCAATAAACACACACCAAGGGATTAAGATGATGATGATGAGCGTATAACGCTTTACAACCTCAGGAATACTGACAAAATGGTAATGACGTATAGTCCAGAAGCCCTACCGCGAGCGCATGCTGCTACTAACAAGAAAAACATATTTTTCATATTAATATATATAGGGAAGAGCAATAGAACAATGAAAATATTTGGTGACCTGGATAAGTAACAACTTTGATCCAGAAAATAAAATTAAATCCTGAATCGAGCAGACAGCACGTTTAACCTGATTAATGAAGTATTATGTACAGCCAGTTTTGTTGTATGATTGTGAAGTTTAACAACATTAACAGAATAGAAGCCCTTGAAATATGTAAACTTCTGAAAATACTTGGAAAGCGCCGATCACGAAAGAGGAGGTGCCGAAGGGAGCGCAGTATGACAGAGAACTAGTAAAACCCAGTAAAATAGCCTACCTTAGTCATATTGATAATGGAGGGGAATATTAAGGGGAAACGGGGCATAAGTAGGATGAAACATTCCTGGTTGAAAAATATCAGAGGTTGGACTATTTCGAACTGCTCAAGACCGTAAGACGGTCGCCTAGAATGTTGCCCACCTTCGATGAACAATGAAGACGGCACTGTAAAAAAGGAGAGTGAGTTATTAAATACGCCAAAAAACAATAATATTGTTATTTAAACTTTAAACTTTGTTTAAAATAATAAATTTGAAAAAACTCCCGGTATACCCATATCTGTCAACATCTTGAGAATATTTTTCTGTTAATTATATTATTCCCGTAATAGATTAACGAAGTTCCCGGTAAGACCAGGGTAAACCGAGTGTGCCTAAAGATTTGAAGATTTTTCTACGTGCTTAAGCGGAGATACTACTGCGTGTAGGTAGCTCTTTCCAACTTCATAAAAAGCTAATCCCAAGAGATCGAGCCAAATTAAAAAAGAAAATAATTTATTTTTTTATGTAAAACCGCGAACCCCTCGCTAATTTAGTAAAAAAAAAGAACAATGGCTTCAATTAGCGTGTCGGTTTTAATCTGGGAAAATTGGAAGGAGAGGTGCTTTACGGCGGCTGCGGGGGAATTCTTAAGATCCTAAGCTATTTTTTGTCAGTAGGGAAAAAGTGGCATGGAGACGCCATTTTCCGCGGCATTAAGTGGCCTATTGTTTATATCCTAACGCTTTCACAATCCCACCGTTAATTTGCATTTATAAAGAAGAAAGCAAGTACAAAATGACCTAAAATATTTATGGTAAAAATATTAATTGATAGCATTGACGCGAAAAAGCGATAATAATAATAATAATACGGTTCTATTTTGAACCCAATTATAGAAAATACATATAATAAAAGCAAACAATAGCACAATAGCAGAGCGCTAATTATATCTTATGGCTGTCCAAAAACCAAAAATATTAATAGTAATTATTAAAAAAGAACAACAAAAAAGAGGTGATCAGCAAATAAAGCGGAAAATCTAGAAACATCAGTGTAGAGTGAGTCAAAGTTAACATCACACAAGCTAGCAATACCGTTTTTTTAGAAAATCAAATATTTACTGGAACTTTCATATGTCGTTATTAACTAACAAAATTCATCTACATGTACACACAATCACACATCAAGTCTATGTAATTTATAATTGAGCGTAAATTCTAACTAAGCAGGAAAAATCATTAAATTCCAGCTAATAACCATCTTTAATAACGTCACGTAATTAGACTCAAAATGATCATTTAAAAGCAAATTATTTACTTGTTAATTTGCAAAGCTTCGAGTAAATTTAATTTGAAAATCTTTGGTGAAACTATGATGACGTTCTCTTAAAAAATGTTGTAATTGGAATCGAACCCTTTCATTAATCAATAAATTACGATTTGTTTACTGAAATATCTTTCTGTTTGGTGCATTTGGGACGATAATTACAAGAAAATTTGTTTATTAGAATATTATTTTTAATTAATACTTTTTCTAATTTTGTTAGTATTAAAAGCTATTTTTAGATTATGTTTAGTTAAGACAATTTTTAGTAAACAAATAAAAGGACATCATGATTCATTTGTCAATGAAAAGCTGGATTCTAACTATGCAATTCATTTAAGAGAACATAATTATCGTTTGAGTTAAGATTTTCTAATTTTATTTTTTGAAAGTAAGGGTACAATTTGCTTGAAGCTTTGGAGATTAACAAATTCAGAAAAATCGAATATCCTTTTGAATGATCAATTAGATTTGAATAAATTTCTCCTATTAAATTTATTTTAAGCCTATTCGCCTAGCGTTGTGAAAGTTGTACCTTATATTGGTTTTTTAAGAATGTTTTTTAACTAGAATTTACACTCCTTTTTAATTATTTAAAACTTACGTAATTATTCAATGATTGGCGAAACGTCAGCAAATTCGACTCAACAAAAACCGACGCAGGAGGAATGCAGAAGTTTTGTATATAGTATTACAGTAGCCTGTGAAAGTTTCTCTGAAAAAAGTATTAAAAATATCATTAATATTGAAATTCAAGTCACACACCAATATAATAACATAACCTAAATTTCAAATAAAACCAACTTTCTTACAATAATAATTTAGTGTAGAAAATAAACCGACGATAAAATAAATTCTTAACAATTCATTTATGTCAATTATTTTATACTTGTACTTATAGATTGTTGATAAAGATTCACATTGTGATCGAAACGTTGAATGAAACATAAGAATTTAAAGAATTTTGATATTATTGAACAATTTTAATCCAAAAACGACACAAGCATTCTGTATATTTCAAGGTTGAAAAACAAAAATCCGGCAGTCCGGCACAGTCCTACACTTCACTGCAACATACTAAAACCATTTATCTATGTAAGCACTATACATATACTGGGATTATAGATCAGTAAAAATAGAGTACTAGGAGTATGTAACACATAGTCTGCTAGTTTTTCAAAATTTTCTTCACTTGTGATAACGCGGCGTTTACTTCTGTTAAACTATGCCGAAGTTTCTAACCAATTAGACTTTTTGCGAAACGTTCCTACAAAGCAAGCGGAGGACTACCGTAATTGCAATAATTTACTTTTTAATTGGTAGCCTTGATGCATTCTGCTTCTACGGAGTAATTGTCCTCTGTTTGAAATAAACGCATAATTATTGTAATTACATCTGACAAAGATTTAGAGCGGCGCGACTAATGAAACTCAATTATAGTCGCCAAATACAAACTCGCCTGGGAGTTTTAATTTTTCTCGCAGTGTTATTCTACGCAAAAATTAATTTAATATAAAATAAGTACTCGTTTTAATTATCTCGGAGTCACTGAATTTGGAACTTTAGTAAAACGCTTTTTAGTCTGTTGTCTATTAAAAGATAAAATGGCATTTACACGGCATAGGTCGCCCGAATATCCAACAAGGTTAAAAATAAATGACTTGTTGACTGGTTTGGGTGGTAAAGTGTGCGTCAAAATATATCGTTTTTTGATTTGGCGGTATAAATTATAGTATAAATTAGGAGAAAAAACTTATTTTGCGCTTCCCTGTGCAAGTCTGAGCTACCATTGAATGTCAGTGACCCGGTACATTTCATAATACCTATACAAACATGTATCGTAGACAAGGAAGAGAGGAAAAGAACAGCGGTTGCGTGAAAGATGATAATTTCAGCAGAACTGGAACAGATAAATTAATAAATACCAGAGATTAAAATCAGAAGTTAAAAAAGTAAACCAACTTAAAAATTATAATTATTAAATATCTGTGGATATCTAGACAGTTGGATCGTTATTATTTAAATATGCATCTCGTTGTCCACTTGGCAAAATCTTTCGAAAACAGTTGTCAAGGGTAATAGCTGTTGATCAATGAAATCCCGGCTCCATTGCCGACCAGAAATCTAAGAACTCTAATAGGAATTATGACATTAGCTTATTGGTTCTCGCCGATTTGTTGTTAAGATTATTCACATCCACTCAGCATCAGGCAGCGCTTACACTATTGATGCTGTGGTTTGCATTTTATGAAAGTACCTTATAGGTCTGAATGCGAAGTGGGGAGATGGAGAGCATACAATGGATCCTCAAACTATAATTTAAATAAAATTGATGGCTCTGAGCTGAAGGTTTAAGAGCTCCAAAACACTACTGCATGCCACAGGACAAATTCCTGCATAGATAATATTTACCACTGTAATATCCAGGAAATAAAAAGCAAAAGTTCTTTGGTTGACACTAACATATATTTTCTATTTACAATATCACAAGTAACAAATACAAAAAAAAAGATTTTTAATGGACTTTAAGAATTTTTGGTCGCACGTTTTAAAAAAAATGGAACAGGTCAAATTTTAGATTCTTATATTATTCTTATATTACATTTGCACCATTTCATTAATTAGTTTTGGAAATATAGGGGTCCAAATTTTTTGAAAATGATATTTATGCCTAAAAAAATAATTGCCAGCTACAACAGGTTCAATCGCATCGAACAAGAAAATCATATTTTCTCTTTTATTTCTTATATACAACAAATAACTTAGAACAGTAAAAATATTGGAAACAAATACTGATGAAGATTTAAAAACTTTATTCCGTTTTCAAGGTGATTAAAAAAAAAGTCAAGTGTATATCTGGACTGTTTAGCGATCAACATACGGTTGTTCTAATTGCTCCTTAATTGTTATTTCAAATGTAGAAGTCCAAGCTTGCATTTATGTTTCCAATTTTATACAACGGCGTGTTAATAGTATATTATACAAGTGTGCTAAACGGCACTGGAGTTACGAGCTTATTTGGAACGGAGCGCAGCGGAGCGAGTGTTTAATAAACGAGTGAGATAAAAAGTTTACCAAACGTGTTGCATATTATACTTTTTCTACGACCATCACGAAAAAATCACAATTTAATAAATTAAAAATAATAACAGATTATCGGATTATTACATTTCGTACCATCCAAACAAAATATTTACCAGTTGCCAATAAATATATTCGTTTATCGTTCCAAACGGTTCTGTTATTGTTGTCTCTTTTTAACTGTGTACGTTAGACAGAGAGAGATGTATTATTGGATATGTCGTATGGACAACAGATTAAACACAATTTTAAAACGTTATGTTGTTTATATAACTTTTACAATTGATCGCCAAGTAGTTTATTTAAAGAAAAAGACTGGAATTTGAAGAAAAATCATCCAAGGATAGAGCGTTTAGGAGGATGAAATTTGTCAAATCGTATAAGCAAGGAAAAGCAGGTCCTAACCTTCAATTTTGTTTTGTTTGTACTGATAACACTTGGATATTTGAAAATGGTACAAATGGTACAAAACTGTAAAAACCACTAAAGTTCATGCAAACGATATGTAAAATTTCTGTTGGGAAAGTTTAATTATAAATGTCACTGTACTTACCGATTAGTCCAGTATATTTTAATTATAGCTTATAGCTTATAGCACGTAGTATTTAAATTGTCTGATAAATTGCATAACATTTTTCCGTGTATTAGTTTTTGTATACATTTTTGCAAGAACGACACAAATACATTCACTGACACAATTTACAAACGTCAAAACTCAAACCGTGCGGCAAAATCTCCGAAAACATCCGATTGCTCCCAAACCCGTGCGGTACAATCCCGGAAATCTCCGAAATGGCTACGATTCGTGGGAAACGAAACTGACGCGGTAAAGCGTCGCTTCCCATACGCTCCCATACCCTCGCGGGAGTAGAAACAAATAAATGCAGCTTAACATAATAGTAATAGTAGTATGAGTAAACTGTAAAAGGCGAATCTTTAATGTTTGGTATGAAAGTTTAATAAAATTCATAAAACTTTGGAATTTGCTACTTTTTTGTGTCTCATATGGGTGTATAAACATATTTCAAAAACCCAGTACATGAAAGGTCATCTAGTCTATTAAGTATCCAAAGATGTCTTAAAATACATATTCTGGAGTACATTTGAAGTTTCGTTTAGGAATGCCTTTAGGACTGTAATTTATTCAGTTTGTTTGTAAAAATACTCCTCTGAAAACTTGAATTAATTAAGTAATACGTTTCAAATAACATTTCTTCCAAAGCGGAAAATATTTCTGCCATACATTTTGAAACTGACTTTACTCAGTCGATACACGTATGTATTCAATTTCCGCTGCCCAATCTCTCTTGGGTCTCCCTTTTAAAAATCTCTGTTAAAACGCTAAGTATGAAAAGTCTCGTAATTTCCGATTCGCATAAAAGAGCTGTAAAAATGTTTACGGTGAACTTCCGTTGCATACTTAAATAAATAAATAAAAGTTTCGGTGAAAGGGGAAATCCGTTGACGAAATTTTTCGATTGGGTCAACTAAACAAACCGAAAAGCGACGTAAGTAGGTAACTTTTGAAGCAGCTAAGGAAAATCAATTGCTATAAATGTGTTAAAATATTTTAAAATTCTAAAATGGCTTAATCACATGGGAAGTCTTCCTCCTTGCTATGGGCCCTCTCCCTGTCGTTTTTAGTTAGACATCTCTAACTCTTGTGCTATTATTTAGATCTTCTGTTCTTACACAAAATCTTAAGATAAATTTATAAATAAGCCTACTTATAAAAGCTATCACGACCCCTAAATATTTAATTTCGTTCGGCTTTTTCAAAGGCACGGAATTAAAATAATAACCAAATTAATTGTTGATTATTATCAAGATAAACTTATAGACATTTTTTATATTAGATCCAATGCATTTAATGTCGACCCATATAAAATTTAATTTAATGCTTTGCAGGTCTAAAGAAGTTGTCAAAGTCATAAATAAATAAGTTGAAGCGAACAAAAGGAACGAATTTTTGAAGAGTACAGGCAACAAAAACTTCAATAGTATTTTTGTGGGTTGACAATTTTGCCCATATACTCACTGGCCATGGGGCACTGGGGGACATCCTGTATTTATTTCCTAATCGGTTGTTGTTAATGTTGTCTCTTAGGTTTAATGATCTTTCAACACCTACTTTAACCACCAATGGTCAAGATGCAATATCTGTAATAATTTATCCGCGAGAGCCCCGAAGGTGGCGTTAACTCATTAATATACATTCGACCCGGTGCACCCAGAAATCTAATAAAACCAAAGTTAATGCACCGAATGGACTTAAAGGCTTTCCACTGGCGCATATTTTATGTCATTGACACTTCACTTTTCATTCGAACCTAGAAGATCCCAATGAAATATTCATTTTCTTGACGACCCCCAGGTTTCTTTCTGATTCCATTTTTTGTTCCGTTTTGATAATGACCTTCTCCCGTTCGTGCAACAGAATGAATACGTTAAAAAGTTTTCCGGAAAGTGTAAAAGAAATTCAAAGTTTTATTACACGCCGCGAGCGGCTTTGTAGAAAGTAGGAGCAGAATTCGGAAAATATAATTTGTTTATTACCAACTTTGGCGTTACTGTCAGAATAATTTCAATTTTAATCAAAGGGCGTGTGTTTGTTGAGCAACTTAAACAAAACATTGTGAAAGTGTGGAATATAATTTCAAAGTACACATTTTTCGCTTTTGCAATAATGTATTCCAGTTGAGAGCTTCCATTATACAGGCTTTGTATCTTTGACAAGTAGACAGACCTAATTATTGTCTTGTATAGAATCTTTTTGTGGAAAATATTGATCCTTACGAAAAGATTTCCAGATATCAGGGTAATTCATAAGCTCCATAATAATTAAAATTGGTAGTTTTACGTTTCTTGACATGACTATTACGAGTTTGGAACTTATTTGGATGTTGCCCCCAGAAAACGCTAGTTTCAGCGTATCATTTAGATAGATCGAATGATTTTTTTGTGGTTATGGTTAAAACATGTTGAAAATCTAAAAGAACGTTAAATTTTTGATAGAAACAGTACTCTTGTTTGGGCCTTCCAACTCCTTCCAATTGTTGAATTATTTTCATTTAAGAAGTTCATGAGATTTTTTCAGATTTATTTTATAGTACTTAAAAGATGGAAAGGAACGTAGAGCAATAAAAAACCAATATTTAACAATAACAAT